ATTGCATATGCCTGGCAATAGAGTGCATTGGTGGCGTTTCACCAGGATGCCTGACAATGTTCCTCACTTACTTTGTATATATGTAATTCATATAATTAATACACAAAAGTCCTGTAAATTGTCACACAGCTTGCTGGTGTGCTGGAACAGCCAGTGAGCTGGAGCAGGATTAAGAATTTGTATTAGAGCCGGGGCGTTGGTGGCACACAACTTTAATCCCAGCACTCAGGAGGCAGAGGCAGGTGGATCTCTGTGAGTTCGAAACCAGCCTGGTCTACAAGAGCTAGTTCCACCACAGCCTCCAAAGCCAGAGGTGAGTCGTCACTCCCTGCTGGGGAGCAATCAGAGAGCACAGCCCACCAGAAAGCCCAAGCATGGCCTGCTGTGGCTTCCAAAAAACTATCTTAAGAAGTTCCTCTGGGCCAGTTCGGTGGCCCTGCTCAGAGACATCTGACACCAGGGTTCTGCTCACCAGATCTGAACTCCGAAGCGGGACCCAGTGCACCCAGACACTGACAAGGCCCCAGTAACAGTTCTGCCTCCATCCAAGAGAAGAGTTCAGACATCAGAGTATTGGGTCTATTTGCATCTACCAGAAGGGAACCTTGGTCCCATACCCACCAGGAGAGGAAGAGACTCCTGCTACACCCACCAGAAAAAAGGATGAGAAGAGGACAATGTAAAAGCACATTCAACAATGGAAAAGCCAATATGACACCACCGGAGACTAGGAATCATACACCAGCAAGACCTGAACATCACAATGCAGATGAAGCAGAAGAGAATGACCTTAAAAACATATGCATGAAAATGATAGAGGACCTCAAAGAGGACATGAGAAAATCCCTTAAAGAAATGGAAGAAAAAACAAACCAAAAATACAAAATATCAACAAATCTCTCAAGGAAACAGTTCAAGACCTAAAAACTAAAATAGAGACAATAAAGAAAGCACAATCTGAGGAATGCTGGAAATAGAAAAGCTGGGTACTACAGATGTAGGCATAACCAACAGAATACAAGAGATGGAAGAGAGAATCTCAGGAGTTGAAGACGCACTAGTGGAAATAGAGTCATTAACCAAATAAAATCTTAAATCCAACAAATCCCTAACACAAAATATCCAGGAAATATGGGATACCATGAAAAGACCAAACCTAAGAATAATAGGTATAGAAGAAGGTGAAGAAATCCAACTCAAAGGCGCAGAAAACATATTCAACAAAATCATAGAAGAAAACTTTCCCAACCTAAAGAAAGACATGTCAATGAAAATACAAGAAGCCTACAGAATACAAAATAGACTGAACCAAAAAAAGGGTCTTCTCACCACATAATAATCATAATCAAAATACCAAACATACATAATAAAGAGAAAATATTAAGAGCAGCAACGGAAAAAGGTCAAGTAACATATAAAAGCAAATGTATCAGAATTACACCTGACTTTTCCATGGAAACTCTGAAAGCCAGAAGGTCCTGGATAGATATTCTTCCTATACTAAGAGACCATGGATGCCAGCCCAGACTACTATACCCAGCAAAGCTTTCAATCAATATAGATGGAGAAAACAAGATATTCCATGCCAAAACCAGATTCAAACAATACATATCCACCAATCCAGCCCTACAGAAAGTTCTGGAAGGAAAACTGCAACCCAAGGAAGTTAACTACAACCACAAAAATATAGGCAATTGATAATCCCCCTTTACCAAGAGCCAAAAGGAAAAAGGGATAGAATCCCACACATACTCTCACCACCATCACCAAATAAAAAGCAAACAAGAATGAACAATCAATGGTCAATAATATCCACCAACATTAATGGCCTTAACTTGCCTATAAAAAGACACAGATTAGCAGAATGGATAAGAAGTCAGAATTCATCCTTCTGTTGCATACAAGAAACACACCTCAACTTCAAAGACAGATGGTACCTAAGAATTGAAGGTTGGGAAAAGATTTTTCAATCAAATGGACCCAAGAAACAAACAGGGGTAGCAATCCTAATATCTAACAAATTGGACATTAACTAAAATCACACAAAAGAGATGAAGGAAGTCACTTCCTATTCATCACAGGAGAAATCCATCAGGATGAAATCTCAATTCTTAACATCCACGTTTGTAAAAGAAATATTACTAAAACTCAAATCACACATAAAACTGCACACACTTATAGTAGGAGACTTCAACACCCCACTCTCACCACTGGACAGGAACACCAGACAGAAACTTAACAAAGAAACAAAGGAACTAATAGAAGTTATGGTGCAATTGGACGTAACAGATATCTATAGAACATTCCATCCAAATACAAAACAATTTACCTTCTTCTCAGAGTCACATGGAACCTTCTCTAAAAGCGACCACATACTTAGAAACAAAGTAAGCCTCAACAGATATAAAAAATTGAAATAACCTCCTGTATCTTATCAGACCCCCATGCTTTAAAGTTAGAATTCAACAACAACACGATTTACAGAAAACCTACAAACTCATGGAAATTAAGTAACACCCAATTGCACGATTCCTGGGTCAAGGAAGAAATAAAAAGAAATTAAAGATTTCCTAGAATTCAATGAGAATTCGGACAGAACATACCCAAACCTATGGGACACTTTGAAAGCAGTGCTAAGAGGAAAGTTCATAGCGCTAAGTGCCCACATGAAGAAACAGAAGAATAATCACACTAGAATACTAACAGCATAACTGAAAGCTTTAGAACACAAAGAAGCAATACACCCTGGAGGAGCAGATGCCAGGAAATAATCAAATTGAGGGCTGAAATCAATAAAATGGAAACTAAGAGAACAATACAAAAAAATCAATATAACACAGAGTTGGTTCTTCGAGAAAATCAAGAAGATAGACAAACCTTTATCCAACCTTACCAAACAACAAAGAGTGAACATGCAAATTAATGAAATCAGGAATGAATAGGGGGTCATAACAACAGACACAGAGGAAATCCAGAGAATCTTCAGGTCATACTTCGAAAACCTATATTCCTCAAAATTTGAAAATCTAAAGGAAATGGACAATTTTCTGGACAATTTTCACTTACCAAAATTAAATCAAGAACAGATAAGAATCTTAAATAGACTTATAACCCCTAATGAAATAGAAACAGTCATCAGAAGTCTCCCAATCAAAAAAAGCCTCAGGCCAGGTGACTTCAGTGCAGAATTTTACCAGAAATTCAAGGAACAGCTAATACCAATTCTCCTCAAAGTATTCCACACAATAGAAGCAGAAGGGTCATTGCCAAAGTCTTTTTCCGAGGTTTCAATAACCTTGATACCCAACCCACACAAAGACACAACTAAGAATGAGAACTACAGACCAGTATCCCTCATGAACATTGATGCAAAAATTCTCAATAAAATACTGGCAAATCGAATCCAAGAACACATCAGAGAAATCATCCAGCATGATCAAGTAGGCTTCATCCCAAGGATGCAAGGATGTTTCAACATATGAAAATTCATCAATGTAATCCACCATATAAACAGACTGAGGAGAAAAAAAACACATGATCATCTCACTAGATGCCAAAAAAGTCTTTGACAAAATCCAACATCCCTTCATGATAAAGGTCTTGGAGAAATCAGGGATAACAGGAACATACCTCAACATAAGAAAAGCAATATAGAGCAAGCCGACAACCAACATCAAATTAAATGGAGAAAACTCAATGCAATTCCTCTAAAATCAGGGACAAGACAAGGCTGTCC